GCTTGAAAAACAAGTTAGGATGTGTTTCAACTATATGAAGATACAGAATCCACCTGGAACCACCTGACAGAACCTGCCTAGTGCTACTTGGGTTGTTCTGCTTCAGAGGGAGAGAGAAGGTACACAGGAAGGTGCTGAAGATTCACAACAGCCACACAATCACTTAAAATTAACCAAAATTCAATAATAGAAAACATGTGATGACAGTAGAACAATCTCAACAATTATTCAATGCCTGGAAAGCAGGTTGTAGAACAAGTATCTCAGCAGGAACAATATAACATGTTAATAAGATTCTGAAGGTAAGAAAACTTCCTTTGCAGATGATGCCTTGTGCACAAGTACATTAGTTTCCAGGACATTGGGGACAACAAAACATATAAAGTAAGAGTAAATCCAAGCTACTTTAACCTTCGACCATTCTCTTGATTATTAAACCTAAGCCACCTTTGGCCACTTGCAGGGGTGTCTTTTCTTCTTTATTTTCAATGTAAATACTTGCTCCGTGGGATGCCAGGAATTTTGCTTCTTCTACTCTCTCCTCATCACAGGCTAAGTGTCTGAAATTGGGGAACACAAAGACTAATTAATCAGCACCAATGTATTTAATGGTTAGGATTTCCTACTAAGTAGTCTAAACTGCATATTATTAGGCTTTAGTAATACTGGAAATTTATATAATCAGGAAAGGAAAATCAATTGTATGGGAAAGATTGTTTATAAGTTAAAATTCACTGAAATGCCTTTATAATAACAGATCATAAATCATAATCTTGGTCCTACTACTCTATGGTAGAAGAATGGATCTAAATGACAGCCTAAGGCAAAACTTCGTCATTTTATGGAGATCAGCAATAGTTTATCCCAAACACTACATGTAATGATTCTGGGTTAGAGTTTAGAAAAGCCTCAATTCATAACCTGTGAGTAGCAATTTATACAGCTTAAACTTTGAAAAAGTAGTTGAAAATATTTCATGTCATTTCATTTGATCCATGATGTATCTACCTGGTAAATTAGCAAGGTATTATCAACACCTTTTATAGTTAAAATTGTGACAGAGGTTAAAGTTCTTAGTTATGATGACATAGCTGAGGAGTAAACTGGGTGGGGAAGGAAACCAACCTCTGTTAGGCATTTAGTTTTCCATGCAGGGTACTAGGTACTTTACATGGCATTTTACTCAAACTTCACAATAATATAGTGAGGAAAGAATTATTATCATAACTTTGCAGATGTTAAGACTCAGAAAGGTTAATGTATATTTAATATAGCCGGAAAGTGGCAAAGTTTGGATTGGAAGAATAGCAACTAGCTATTCCACAATGTTGTGTTTTTCCTAGGATTCTATATTGTCTGAATTCTATTCTTCCTCCAGGCAATCCTGCCTTTTGAGTTTCAGAGAAAAGAGCTAAAATACATAAGTCTTTCCAAAAGAGTCACTCTGAAATACAGGGAACACCCTTTAAAATAAAAGTTAATAAAATAATATTTTTTAAAAGTTGGTGTAAAGTCAATCTAGAAAAGGTGGAATGAACCTCACTCTGGACTAAAAAGAAGACTAATGCTTTCTGGTCCAAAAACAGACACCATTCAGTGTAGAAGAAAAGTGGCCAAATAATGTAGGAAAATATCAAGGCAGAGGCTGGCTTCAGGTCATACATACAAGAATTAAATGCAAAACAGTAACAACAGGGCTGGGGATTTAGCTCAGTGGTTCCGGCGCCTGCCTCGCAAGCTTCAGGTCCCGAGTTCGATCCCTAGTACAAAAAAAAAAAAACCCAAAAAACAAAACAGTAACAACAAATCTCAATCAAAACCAATAAAGTGTTAAAGAAAACCTATAATAAAATATAGGTGAGTACTTAACTAATTTCAAGGTAAGGATGAGCATTCTAGTCATGAGGGAAGATTAATAGGTTTGATTACACAGAGATGGAAAACTTGTGTTATTTTAAAAAATCATGAACAAAATAAAAAGATCAACTGGGAAAAATATTTTCAAATAATGTGGCAAAAAGTTGTATTTTTACTATGTCAAGTGAAGAGTAATTAAAAGCCATTAAAAACAAATTAATTTCCCTAAAAGAAACAGAGAAAGGAACACAAAATATTACAATTTAACATGTCCCTATAGGCTTGAACCACTGGTGGTGTTGGCATGACTGTTCCATGCCACCCAATGGGACAGTCATGCATACACCACTGGTGGTTCAGAGCCACTTGGTAGTGAGACATACGAAATCACGCCCTATTGTGAATGTGTTAAAGAAATATAGTTTGCCATAGGCATTAAGTTTCAAACTTAATGACAATAAAAATGTAAATTGAAAACAAAATACAATTTTTCACATAATAAAGTGATAATTTCAGTGTTGATGTCAGGTAATAGGCATTCTTAAAATGCTCTTGGGAGGGTAATGATACAACTCCTCTGGAAGCAATTTGGCAACACACAGCAACAGCCTTAAAATATGTGTATTTGTTGATCCAATAATTCAAGTTCTCGGAGTCTACACTAAGGTACTAGCATTATGGACAAAGGTTTTTACAGAAAGTTTGTCAATGCAGCAGTGTTTATAATAGTGGAAAACTCAAAAAAGTTTATAAAGTAATAGAAGAATGATTAAATTGTGACCCATCCATAAAATTGACTGCATGGTCATTTAAAATGTTTTAAATGTATTTAATGACATTGGAAAATGCTCACAGTATGAGGTAAAAAGATCAAGATATAAAATTACAGATACAGTATGACCCCAATTTTTCTGAAATATATATGTAAAATATACGCATATACATATAAAAGACTGGGAAGAAATTCACAAAAATGTTATCAGTGGTTATTTCTGGATGGCAAATGATAGGCAATTTTCATTTTTATCTGTATGCTTTAGTGTACCTTTAGATTTTTGCTACTAACATTTATAAACAGAATAATAATATAAATGATATATAAGAATTACTGCAAGAGGGCTAATATTAAATAGAATACAAATGACTGTTACTTGTCACTTACAGAGGAGTGTTACCCTCAGTGTCTTGGATGTTTGTGGATGCTTTGTAGTACAGAAGGATATGAATCATCTTCAAGTTACCCTTGGCTGCTGCCCGGTGCATTGCTGTAGCCTCATAATGGTCCTTAGCATCTGGATTAGCCCCACCTTCTAGTAACATGACAGCAATCTGGAAAAGACAGAGAAGAGACTACTGCAGAGATCTATTTGTGTTTATATACATGTTCAGAACTCAACAGAAGTACCTAGGGGCAGAACTATACCTCATGCCTGTTTTTGGAAGCTGCGTAATGTAGAGGAGTACAGCCATTTTGATTGACAGCATTAACTTGTGCACCTTTTCCCAGAAGGGCCTTTACGATCTCATCTCGGCCGGCAGAAGCAGCAATATGAAGAGGAGACCAACCAGCCTGCAAAAGAGGTGGGTTGTATGAAACCAGGGGAAAAAGGCACAGGTATCAATATGAACATTTACACAGGGTTTACTACGTTATGTGTGAATAGTTTAAAAAACATTCATTTTACCCCTCCTCAAGCATTGCAGAATTTGGAAAATAATATACTATAAAAAAGAAAAAATACAATCCAATAATATAGACTTAATGATACATAAGTCAAATTCTAAGTTATTTGCTCCTATATAATATACTATTTTAAATCAAAGCTAGGATCAGAGGATATGAAGTTATTTGAAGTGCATTTTTTAACCATTTCACTTATGTTGTGAGAATTTTTCTGTTCTTTGTAATTATAACTTTGTTGGTTGCCTATTATTTTACCATAAGGATATACTTTACTGTTCTCAATCATCCCCCATAAATTATTTTTCTTTCTTATTATAAATACTAATTCAGTAAGCATGCCTGAAAAAGGAATTTTTGCCAATAAAAAAGGTTCTATTCTTATTCTATTCTTATTCTTCACAATTCTAATGCTATCTTTATATAATCTTCATTATTGACCAAAAAGATCCAAACAAAGTAAAAAGAATTTACAGTCTTTTAGGTTTCACAGTAATAAGCTCTGATCTGTATTTTTACCCCAAATGATATAGTGGCAAAATTAACATTCTAAAATAATGCAACCACTAGTCACATGCTTGATCGCCAGGGAAATGCTGTAACTTCCTCGCTGTAAAGGTTATAATTTTGTTTATGAACTTAATATCAAGGCTTCAGTAAACACCAGGCTGTAGTCTAAAGATTACTGAGAATTTATCGGTTTTGCCTAGTACTCACGTCATCTTTATCATTCACTGGCACACCGAGTTGCAGCAAGAATTCAACAATCTCTGTATGTCCTGCTGAACATGCCCAGTGCAAAGCAGTTCGGCTGTCCTACATGAAAAACAGAGAAACGCTATGGTCCACATTCTTGAAGAGAAATAGATGACAAAAAGGCAGAAAATAAAATAATACTGGTGCCAGCAAACCCATTGTTTGAAAACAAAAAATGGAGCACACTGGATCCTCAGGTAGGTAACCTTAAGCTGTATTACTCACTCCCATAGTATGAGATAAAATTTTAGTAACATGGAGTGAATAACATTGATGAAGGTAAGTAATTCTGGGTAGAATACAGTGATGAAGTCGGTAGAGCAAGAAACTGATTCCAATGCTTTGGCAGAAAAGGAGCTTTGGCTGTTTACTATGTACTTCTACGTCAGGCACAGTGCTAGGAGTTTTACATGCATCATCTCACTTAACGCCCACCATCCTATACAGTGGATACTATCTCCATTTTATAGATAAAGAAACTAAGACTCCTTGTGGTAAACAGCTTGTTCAAGGTCACACAACTTAGCCAAGATCTGCCTGGCTCTGAAATCTCTACCTCACAGATCTCAAGTTAGATGCTCTGGAAAGAACTTATGAATAATGGAGGAAGAAATACCCATAAAATTAGTTGAGACTGCATACCATTAAAAAATATCACACACAGAATAAGAGAGCAACAAAGCTGCTTTTTAAAAATAACAAGACAGGGTTTGTCACGTTTCTCAAAGAGAACTCGTATTTGCATTTATAGCTGTATTTCTTGATGAGTCCTACGTAAGAGAATGTAGAATTTTTTTGTTTTGTTTTGTTTTGAATGCTGGAGATAGAACCCTGGGCTTGCTGCATGCTAGACAAGTTCTCCACTGAACTATACTTCTAGCCCTGAAAGTGGTACTTTCAACTTTTCACGAAAATTTCAAACACATAAAAATACAGAGAATTTAATAATGTCTGCTTTTTCCACTCGACCAATTTGAGCGCTTTTTCCCCCAGCTCCTAACAAACTGGCGGGCACAGGAGACGCGTTCAGTTACACGTGTTTCACTTAATGTAACTACTGCATTCAAGGTAAAGAAATCCATACAAGTCTGTCCTCACGGATACCTCAAAGTTGGCATTTCTGAGAAGTGCGGTAGACGTTCTAGAAACGTCCAATTCTACCAGTTAAACGCTGCCCCCCCCCCCCCCCCAAAATTGTTGAGGTTTGTGTTGCTGGCTCCTGCAGCTAGACTGCGAGTCCTGAGGTGACCCTGGGGTATGGACCGCGAGGCGAGGGTAGGGATCTGCGCTCGAGCCGGCCTCCGCTTGGGCTGGGCCTGAGAAGCCACGTAGGTTTTGCAGACGCCGCCGGCTGCGGACAGGCTGTAGAGCGGCTTTACCTGGTCGGTTCTAGTAGCCAGGGACTTATCGGCCAGGATGCTCTCCTTCAACTCTTCCAGCTTCCCACTATAGGCCAGGTTGCAGACCATTAGGTTAGACACACACCCCTCCATTTTGCTTTCGCAGAAGCTCGATAAACGTAGGCAAAGCCCGCCTCCCGGCCTCCAGGTGCCAATCAAAAGACGCTTAAACTCCACCAATCACCGGCCTTTCTCGTTCCGGTGTTTCTTTTCTTATTGCGCAGAGCTTCTGGGAGTTGCAGTTTGAGGGCAGTTCTGGGCTGGGAGGTGCCTGTCCTGTTCTCAGGGATTTGGCCCCTAACAGTGCAGGACTACAAGCCCCAGGGTCCCTTGCGACCTCCGTAGTCAAGTTGCCGGTGGAATTGGCCCAGGATGACAGCTGGAGAATGGAGTCAGGTACGGAGAGCGGCTTCGTGTGAAACTGTGTGGAAGAGCTGGGGTGGGTGGTCTCTGTTGGTGCACTGAGTCGAACATATTAAACGGGCACAGGAGCGAGGCAAGTGAGTTACTGAAGCCTAAAGATTCTGTTTCTCCGGGGCCCTGACCTGCAGGGGCAGGCGGAAGGGACAACAGTTGGAACTGAGTACTATCTTGAGCCTCAAGCGGTGACTGTAGCTACCCTCCCCCTCCCGGCCACCAACGAGGGAGTGGAAAAAAAGTAGGGTTAAAAAATCTCGCTGGAGTGGCATCAGGCGAGGGTTCTGCCACAGCAGTGATAGCACACGACACCACAGTAAAGTGTTGTGCCAGGGTGATGCCAAAGGCAGGGTGTGATGCCGTGGGAGCCACTTGATATCTAAGAGATCTCTGAATCTGTAGCTTGGTGACATTACCATTTAATAAGGGTCACCCTCAGGATACAGTGGTATGGTGTTGCCACTTTAACATCACAATAATGACGATGATATCGAGGCTTTGCTAGAACTATTAAGCCGGTAGTGTTTCTTTTTATGGAAATCCCAAATAGTGTGGTAGCAGAAGAGATGCAAGGCCTTTCCTTTAAAAGGCATATCCAGGAGGGCATTTTGCCAAAACTAGGTAATGATAAAGAATACATTCAAGAAATAAACTGTTTATATTTATATTTATCCTATTAGGGTGTAGAACAGGGCTTGCCAACATTTCTGTAAAAAGCCAGGTAGTAAATATTTTAGGCTTTGTGACCCAAAAGGTGAAATTGAGAATATTTTGTAAATACTTTTATGACAAGAGAGAAAACAAATTTTGACAAATGTTTATTGATGACATTCAAAATATAATAGCTTTCTACTAATAACATAAGAATGTACAGTTTTGTAACACAAGAATACTGAGAATACAATTCTTTTGAAGCAATAACATTTTGCTTAACTGGGGGTCAAAGTTAGTGTTCCCTATTACCCAAATTGATTCCAGATATTCATTCATCTGTTAATGCTGTTCTGTAATGAGATTTTATGTATATCATCTTTGAAAGTGTCTTTTCATACAAACAGGTATGCCAAATATTGATGTCAATCCGTGAAGTTTATTTTTAAACTTTTATTTAAATAAATTTCTTATTTTAAATAGTTTTAGATGTATAGAAAAGTAGTAAATACAGTACAGTTCCCATATATTCTTCATCCAATTTCCTGTTTTTTCCATTTTAATGATTTTACTGAAATATGTTTTACATATCATAATATTCATTTTTCAAAAGTATATAGTTAAATGATTTTAGTAAGTTTACAGAATCATGCAGCTATCACCAAAAATCAGTTTTAGAATGCTTTCATCTTCCCAATAAGATCTCATGTCCAGTCTCAGTTAATACCATTCCCACTCCCAGCCTAGGCAACCAGTAATATTTTGTCTATAAACCTGCCTATTTTGGACATTTCGTGTAAATGAAATCATATAATATGTGATCTTTTGTGTCTAGCTTCTTTCACATAGCACAATATTTTTAAGATTCAACTATATTATTTAGCATATTTAAAAGCTTTTTTACTTTTTACTGCCAAATAGCATTCCACTTTATAGATGTACCACATTTTTGTTACCAGTCTATAGATTTTAGATTGTTTCCAATTGTTGGTTATTATGACTAATGCTGCTAAGAACATTCTCATGCAAGTCTTTGTATGGACATAGGTTTCCATTTCTCTTGAGTACATACCTAAGGGTAGAATTATTGGGTCATAGGAAAGTTTTATGCTTAACTTTTTAAGAAACTACCCAACTGTTTTCCAAAGTGGCAGAACCATTTTACATTTCCACTACAAATGTATGAGGGTTCCTGTTGTTCCACATCCTCAGCAAGATTTGTGTCTGTTTTTTATTATAGTCATTCAAAGTGGGTGTGAAATGATAGCTCATTATGGTTTAAATTTTTATTTCCTTAATGACCGATGTGCTTATGAATCATTTGTGTATCTTCTACAGTGAACTATCTGTTCATATTTTATCCATTTTATATTGTGTTTTAAATTGCGTTATGAGAATTGTTTATATATTAGAGATGCAAGCTCCTGCCAGTGGGCTGCTTGTCTTTCCCTTCTGTTTGTTTGTTTGTTTTGTTTGTTTCTTTTTGGTACCGGGGGAGGGAACTTGGGACCTTGCGCTTGCAAGGCAGG